TCGTTTTTCGCATTGCATTGCTGCAAAAAACGCATAAAAAGGAGCAAGGAAATCGAAAATTCCCGTGAATATCTTAATAACAAGCCGATCATCAAGTAAAGCATTATTTGCTGAGCTGGACATAGCCGTCACTGCTTTGTTTTTACAAACATCAGGATATTCGGAAACGATTAATTCGTTGCTGAGGAATCTGCTTCGACACCATAGCCTTCACTGAGAGCAAATACAGACGGCACAGCCCCCATTCCCTGCCTTGAATGAAACCCGAAGCATATAACTCCACTCCCCCCTTCTCTCTCACGCTGACCACATCTGAATTTCTGACACTGGCCATGGGATAGCCATACCCCCCATCGTCAGAAGAAATTTTTCACAAATCGTGCATGAGTAGTTTTAGGTACTGAATCTATCAAGAGACTGCAAGGACCATTCCTTGCTATTTAACATATGCATTCCCACTAAGTGGCCGTTGTTTTTAAAAAGTTACCCGAGAACGGAAACAAAACTATCACCTGTGGAACATTCGCTGAGCTGGAACTAGCTGTAGCTTCTTCCTGCAAAACAGCTTGCTCCCGGTCCACTGATCCCTAGAAATACATTTGCAGTGGGTGTGTGTGTGTTTTTTTTAAGAATTGGTGTTTTTCGCTCTAATTAGTAATTTGATTTCAGCACTAGGCATATTCGTGCTATCGGTCGGACTGGCTATTTTTTCTAGTGCGAATAGTAAGAGAAGGAAGAGTAAGAGACGGAAGACGAGGAGCAGCAGCAGCGCAGCAGCAGTAGCAACAGCAGTAATAGGGGTTGCGAAAGGAACAGGGTGCTAACGGCAAGAAAACGAGGCTGCCGGCTAAACCCCTTCGCCTTGCCCAGTTGTTCTCCGATTCCATGTGATATGCAAATGCCCAGTCTCTTGACTCGAGTTCCCCATCCATGATATTTAATGTGACGATTAGAAATGAAATGGGGATTTGTGTCACAAAAATTGTGTGAAGACTGCTTCGAGCTGCTGCCGCCCTTCCGTTCCCGCCCTCTTGTATTGTACGATGGTAGCTTGGAGCTGCTGCCGAACTCCTCGCGGTTTGATTTTCGTTTTATGTGTGTTTCGTTTTGTGCTTGCACTAATAAAGTTTTATTTGTTTATCAGGGCGAGAGCCATCCTACAATCGTTCAGGCCTCTGGCCGCCTCCTCCTCATTACAGGGTAGCAGCAACGCAAAATGGCTTATGCTGTTCTACTTGTCAAGCAAATAAAACAGCTGATGAACGAAACAAACGATAATGCGGTAAACGTACCATAAGCTCTATAAAAGTAATATCCCAAGCGCTCTTTTCGCCCACCTGCACCCGCTTGAGGTCCACAGAAATACAATGCCCACGTATGTCCGCAATGTTGTTCCGGAAAATCAGATTCCTGTCCAGCACTTTTCCACAGAACGGAAATTCAGGGGGAAAAAGACTGTCGTAATTTTGCGCTATGGCTATTTGCATCGTTAGCTGCAAAAGTTTTCGTTTAAGAAAGAGGTAGTGCGTATGTGTGTGCGTATTAGTGCGTGTGTATTATGTGTGTGTGTGTGTATGTGTGTGCACGCATGTCTTTGTGTGTTCCCGACGACGCAACCAATGCACTTGCGCATATCGTTGACTTCAAAAAGAAAATTTTTTTTTTTTCAGAAAGCACTGTAAATAAAGGGTTGTCCATTCGTTTATTTCCTGGACGGGTTT